CTTGCATATGACGTATTACTTGCATATGACGCATTACTTGCATATGACTATTGCTTGCATATGACGTATTACTTGCATATGACTATTGCTTGCATATGACTATTACTTGCATATGACTATTACTTGCATATGACGTATTACTTGCATATGATGTATTACTTGCATATGACTATTGCTTGCATATGACTATTACTTGCATATGACCATTACATGCATATGATTATTACTTGCATATGACTATTACTTGCATACGACTATTACTTGCATATGATGTATTACTTGCATATGACGTATTACTTGCATATGACTATTACTTGCATACGACTATTACTTGCATATGATGTATTACTTGCATATGACGTATTACTTGCATATGACTATTACTTGCATATGACTATTATTTGCATATGATGTATTACTTGCATATGACGTATTACTTGCATATGACTATTGCTTGCATATGACGTATTACTTGCATATGACGTATTACTTGCATATGACTATTATTTGCATATGACTATTGCTTGCATATGACGTATTACTTGCATATGACTATTATTTGCATATGACTATTGCTTGCATATGACGTATTACTTGCATATGACGTATTACTTGCATATGACTATTGCTTGCATATGACGTATTACTTGCATATGACGTATTACTTGCATATGACTATTATTTGCATATGACGTATTACTTGCATATGACTTGCTTGCATATGACGCATTACTTGCATATGACTATTGCTTGCATGTGACGTATTACTTGCGTATGACTATTACTTGCATATGATGTATTACTTGCATATGACGTATTACTTGCATATGACGTATTACTTGCATATGACTATTACTTGCATATGACTATTACTTGCATATGACTATTACTTGCATATGACGCATTACTTGCATATGACGTATTACTTGCATATGATTATTGCTTGCATATGACGCATTACTTGCATATGACTATTACTCGCATATGACTATTACTTGCATATGACTATTACTTGCATATGACGCATTACTTGCATATGATTTATTACTTGCATATGACTATTGCTTGCATATGACTATTACTTG